ACGTCGTTGGGGGCCGCGCGGAGGTGTACCCGGCGATTATTAACTCGCCCGAAAAACGCCCCAAGCTTCTAGGCAAGAGGGATTCGTTTGCACACTGCGTGGAATACTGTTGTTCTGCTTCAGATGGTCAAGGTGAAAGGCTCCGCCGGCTACAAAACCCATCTGAGTTCCAACAACAATGAATCGGGATTGAAAGTCTCTGTTTGTGGCGAGCTGAGGAAATTCAGATCATCGTCACCTGGGCGAGCCCTGATTAGCATGTATATAATTCGCTGAGGAATGCGTTGCAGTCGTATTTTTAAAATCGCCGTGGCTCTCGGTGATAGATGAATCCATCTCTAAGGCATCTCGGAACTCTTTCGCGCCGTTCCATGGCCTTTATGAAACTACAAAAAATTGGAGGAGAGCCACTTCTGTTCCACATGGCTCCAACAATCATTCCTAAGTGGCTCGAAGGCACGGCGATCATTCGCAGAGAAGAATGATTGAGTGTCGGAAGCACGAAACATTGTTTTGCTTGCTTGAGCTTCCCACTCCTAGTTCTGTCACGAGAAAACTCCGCGATCGAGCTTGAGCTCTACAGACGAATCCCTACACCGGCGCTCCGAGACCCCGGATGTCGATCTAAGTTCTGGATGAATCACAATTTTCTCAAGTTCAGAGTTTGACGTCATGCCGAATGTTATGATCAAGGAGCGTACGGCGGATAACCATGACTTTTCCGAACGACTTCTCGGACTGCTTTCGCTCATTTCCGGCTTTTTGCAATTCTTCCCCTGATATATTCATCCGGAGACGGAATTCATTCAAACTTTCTGAGGTAATTTTCTTTCTGAGCCGATGGAAGATATATGGCGCCTGTGTGGAGTCAAGGAGAACACAGCTGAGGAATGGAGAATTTTCGCGATCGCACTGCAATGATACGAATCGAAATCAGTGCCGCACTGTCCGCGGGATTGACCTCACTGGCCATGTGGTATGTTGGAGAGGGACCCAGATCCTTCTAAGAATATCCTCGGAACTTTCCGTCTCGCTCACAACCTCGGGAGTTGCCTTCTCAGCTGCCGCGACGAGATAAATCGGCGATCAGAGATGGGGACATTAAATGCAAGGAGGGTAGAAATTTGGACAGAGGTGTATCGGGGCGCGTTACCGACAGTCGTAGAAACAGATTATGTACATGGAATCCCTCGCTGTACCGATACTTTTAGAACAACCTCTCCATTATGATTCCATTGTTATTCGGCCTTATTCGATCGGAGCGGAGACGTCAGGGGATGGAGGGATTGACTTGCCAGATTATTCATCGGGAATTCTCAACAAATGTTTCCGTCCAGAGGGCGAAATTGTTGATTATTCTATGAGTCCGAGGATTTTTAGACGATATCGACGTGCATGGAGCTTCCTGACACTCGCGCTTTGACAGAACGTTTTCCGCTTCGCGGAGGAATATAAGCTGACAAATGTCGCTATTTTTGTCCCCTAGTATCGGACGGGTCCGGTGGATTCGGCGTCCCCACGGGGGAATCCGCAACGATTTGTTACTTTTTTTTGTCTACACATCTCCATGGGGCTCGACGCTTCGACTTCCATGAGATATTTTCGATTTAGGTTTAAACACGGCAACTTCATTTTTTTGGGTGGTTTTCAGTTGTTGTTGTCGTCGTCTTCGTTCTTCCGTTCCCGTACGCGTCACCTGATCCGCGGTGCACTTCCCCGTATGAATTGTCCCGTGATGGGATCAAAGTCTGGGACTCGTCCGCCGGCTTTCGACCGATTGAGCGTTGCCAGTGAAAAGTTTGCCGCGATTTTCGATGACATCGAGTCCGGCTGCGGTCCGGGGAACTTTTCTCGACGGCGAGTTGACGATCGTCATACGCCCATCAGTGTTGAGTTGTTCGAATTGCCGGGGTACACTTCAGCGAGAGACAGCGAGTGAAGGACAGATTGAAATCGACGTTCGATAAAAAGTTGTGAATCAAACGGCTTTCCAGGACCGCACATGCGTTTGATATGCAAAAACGTCATACGATGTTTTGCTTGGAAGGTGTCGAATGATCCTGCTCCGCGCGTTTCACTCGGTCGCCCAGCCTGTTGGCCAACCTGACGGATTGATGAGGATTGATTTCGGAGCTCTTGACGCCGGTCGTATCCTAGGTGTCGATGATGACCGCGATCATGTGGATGTGAGTATGAATGAGCTCGCGATCCCAGTCCAACAAGGATCAGGGTGATTGCACTCGGCAATGGAGAAAATACCTGTTGTGACACAGGTTCTGATCGCGTCCCCTCGCTCGGATCTGTCCGAAACTACGGGGACACCAGTTGGACTAGACTTTGAACGAGATTGACTTGCGTTCCGATTGTGCGACGACCGCCGCAACGGCAGTCATAATGCCGTATTGTCTTTTCGGAAGCCGCTCCGAATTATTGTGAAGAGCTTCCCGGACTCCAGCAGATCACCGTCACCGGGACCGTTCGGTTCCGAAGCGGAAAAAATGGCCGCTCCAATCGTTAGTCAAAGCCGACGAAAATGCACAATTGAAGCTCGAACAACTCTGTTGTTGTGTGATTGGATTGACAGCAAGGAGTTTCGATGTGTTCCGGCAATGTACAGCCTGCTTCGTTTGTTGCGTTCATCGACTCTTTGTGAAGTTGCGAGGAATCAAAAATGAGGCTGTCAAGAACACATCCGTAGCAGTAGAGGGATGTACATACAGAACGTCTCTGAGAGATGTCTTCATCGGTGCCACTTGTTGAGAGCCCTGACTTTGAAATCAAAGGACGGCGAATGCTCGCTATGTCGGACATCGACTCCGCATACCATGTGAGAATCGCGTCCGCTCAGTCAAAGATGCTCAACTCCTTATCGGCACCTTCTCCCGAAATCGCTCCGCGAGATTCGCAACCTCACCGAGAACGCACACGGAGAAAGAGCTTCCAGACTTTTCGGTACAATCTGTTTCAAATATTCTTTTTTTTTTCATTCATTGACATTCCGGCGAGAATCTTCCAAACTGCAAAGCTTCCTTTGTCTCCCCTACCCGAATCGATAGCCTCAAGATATTGTATCGCTCAAACGTGACCGGGCCCGAATCCTCGGTGAACGCAGACTCGTTCCACCGCGATTTTTTTCGCGCTTCGGACTGATTCAGCGTATCGAATTGCCGACGACGGACCAGGACGATTCCGACCGAGAATTCACCGCTGAACGGTAGTACACGCGCAAGCACGGAATCATCAAGTGCACGGACTAAATTTAGAAAACGGACATTAATTGAGTTACCTCATAACGCATTCCTGCTGTTTACGTCGCATCATTTCCATGATCTCGTACTGTGATCGGGAGATAATCAATGAAGCAAAGGTCAGGGATGCGCGACCGTTCCGAACGATAGGGTTTCCGACAGCGATACCGACCGCTTTTTGTGCTTTCAAATGTTGTTCTTGTTCCTGTGGGTAAAGCACGACCGTTCGTTCATTGCCGAAATGGCGCATCGGTACTCGTCAATACTTCTTGATGCGCGTTCCGACCGCCCCGAATAAGGAATTGAATTAGGCAAACTCGTCACCTTATCCAGCTCTTTGTTAGGATATCGCACGTGGTGCCATGCCCGTACACGTCGAGACTTCGCTGAGCAACGCTTGCTCAAGGAATAATTGTCGGAAAAGCCATCTGATCACAAATCGACACCGTGTGCCAATGCGGATTTTCGGCCTGCGTGAAGAGCCCGGATCACGACCGACTCGCTCTCGTAGGTCGATATTTATAATGTTGTACAATGAGTTGGAATGTTGGCAGCGTTCTCTGGGAATTATCGCGAGACTCTCGCCGTGCAGGAATGTCAAACGTGAGATCCCGTTTTCTTCCTTCTCTCCCGAGGTGAAGGCTGGTCTCCATAGACTATCCGTGATCCTAGATCCAAGTCTGATGGAGCACGACCCGATAGACAACGGATGGCCATTGTGCTTCCTCAATAAGCGATGTAACCGAGATCCGATATTTTGAACATTCAATGCCAATCGATCGGTCACTGAGTGAATGCATCGATCGAGTCGTCGTCGACGTCGCGTCGGTCACCGTCACGCTAATCAGATAGACATCAAAAACCTGTATCCAACGTCAACAAAAGCCTATCCGCAGAATTCAGTAATTAGTTTCCTCAACTCGACACGAAGGTCATGATGGATGAAGCACATCACGTTCCTGGGCGAATGGCGGCGCAAAACAAGGCGATGGGGATGTCGAGAAGGACAGCAGTATTCTCTTTTTCCTCTCCAGCAGAAAATGACGGCCGCGCTTGAACTGCAAGCTTGCAGCGAAAACCGACCGTCAGCTCGTTCATCGGTCAAATGACTTGTCGATCACTCGCGATGATGCACTGATGTTCGGGAATTTCTCGGAAAGACAAATGAATTATTTGTGTGCCGATTGCACCACGACGGGCTCGCTCTTCTGCGGTGCACTTTCTTCAGGTGTTGCCTGCCCATCTTCAAGCGGCGAACGTGGCGGTCAAGGCTCGGGTCAGAGGGGGGATTGGCTCACTGGGATATTAACGCGGGCTTCGGTTGGACTAGATGAGCTTTGCATCAACAGGCCGTCGTTGACTATGTAGCAGTCGTTGTCATCATCATCATTCCCGTCTAAAATGACTAAGCGCCGGCGTGGTGCGCAATCTTCCGGCGAGCACTGACTGCGTTGCGAGAGGATATCCATAGTATCTCGAACATCCATCTGATAAGCGATACTGATCGGAAGATGATCCCGATTCTGAGCGATATTACAAAAATCATATTTAAGCGCAAGTTTCCGAGCATGGCGAATGACCCATCCGGCGGGTTCACGTAATGCACGAGCTAACCGGATGTTCGCTGCAGTGACGTTCGCGGCCAGGAAAGCCAGCGTATTGGACGGGGAAATATAGCCGATTGTACGTCTTTAACCAAACCTGGAAGTGTTCAAAGTCAAAACGAGGCTGTCCATACAAGACGGTACTCACATCTGGCAGCGGTAGAGCGTTTTCTGCCCCTGAAGAGTCGGAAGCCTCGTCCGGTACCCTGTAATTTTCCGATTGCTTTAGTCCGTCTGCTGTCAAGAACTATCGATACGTATCTGTTGTTTTGGAATTCACGGGAGCTCGACTGGTCCGAGGATAGTCGAGAGGTATGGCTGTGATTCTATAGCAGACTAACGTTCGGTGCCAAGTTTTCGGTTCAAGCTGCGGACTTCCGCTGTCGACTTGGTATCTGGAGGAGCGTAACAACAATGGGAGCGAAATGAGAGATCCAATTCCGGAAAGATGGATCGACGGGATCATTTCCCAAGGTCAACTAACGGAAACGATTGCTCTTGACTGGACGATGATCATTTCGAACTCGCGAGGAAAGGTCATCCCAAAGAAAAACAAAGAAACCATCAAGAGAATGTTTTTCGTAGGTTTCAAGCCTTGAGCCGAAGCGCACATTGCGACTAGGGATGAGAGTCCGCTGTAATTGAGGAGCGACGATTCCCGCTTTCGTTTTTGTTTTCTGATGTTATTCCTAGACCGGCGTTCGCGTAAAACGGTTTCCGACTGGGCCAGTGATCGTTCGAGGGTACGATCGTCTCTTCTCAGACGGACGACCGACTGAGGGTCGTCGAACGGATTTAAAAAGGAAATAGTTGAAAAAAACACACGTGAATTTTCCGCTTTGGATGCACCGGGATCGATGTTGGAGAAGGAGCCGGTTGTTTCACGGCTGATCGGGTCCTTCATCGAATTCTATTTTCTGACAGGTATCAGATGGGTGTTTTTTAGGTGTGGCGAGAAAGGTGCAGTGAATCAGACCGTGGAAGAAAATTCATTTCGGCAGACATCCACATACTAGCCGAGATGACTCGAGATCTGAATTTTTGATATTTCCGTGCGAACCGCTTATATCAGTGCAAGGCAATCGTGTCGGTGGTCGAATCTTCAGAGCGAATAGATACGTCTTCCATTACGAGTCCGTCAACCAAGCGAGCGTCGGAGCCGTCGACCGCGAACGACGACGTGAGGTAGAATCGTTGGTGAGATTTCTGACGGACGAACTGCGACACACATCGGAGGCGCTCGGAAGGCATCGATGTCACGTTTTGCCGTGAGTTCGGTCGTCGCAGCGAGGATCTGTTTGTCGGAATGTCGCGTCAAATGGCGGAGGAATCATTTGGCGAATTTTCTCAACGCTACTCTCAACGACGTGGTGCTGAGCGCTCCTGACGTTTCCGACCGGAGGAGAGGACCCAATGCAAATGGTCACTTGGTCGTGAATCTCGTCGTAACTGCACATCTGTCACATTCCCAGAGAATTCACGGAAGGTGAAAATTTTCTCCGAATAGATTCAGTCAGCCCAGCTCGAGTAGCCTCCGAGGTAAAATTCACGATTCCACCCGCGGAGTCCGGGTCGCGATCCCCTGGATGTTTGACAGGGTTCTCTGACTAGGAGTCACGCGCAATTCAAGATATGGTCGGAATGCAAGCTTATGAATCGCGAGGGCTCTAAATCCGAATAGAATTCCGGCCCCTGGCTCTGTATGCATCTTGTGTAGTTGTCTCCTCTCGGCGAGGGATGTGCTGTATGAATCGGCCTTGTACGACTCTCCCCTACAATAGATTCCGTTATTCGGATCTACTTTGGGCGGATTCGGCGTCATTCGGTCGGGGGAGTTCCAGATGCTTGCTGGACGAATCGAATGACGGAAATTCAGGCATCGAGTTGCGGAAAAACTCTCCGCCGGAAAGGAGTCGCAAATCGTTCCCCCAGCGGTCCATCCGCTTGAAGTGACTGGTTAGTTGATTGATTGGTTGATTGATTGATCGGTTGACTGATCGATTCACTCCATATTTTATTGTCTGAGAAGACGATTTGCTTCCATCATCAGACCTCGAGCCGATTTCAGCTGGGATATGAACTTTTCCTCAGATGTGGGAAAACGAGCCGAAAGACGGACAAAGCTTCGAGACAAACGTGAATGGACCGGAAAGTGGTTGAACCGACTCGCGAAAAACGAGCAAATTACTCCAGCTGGAAATTCGATATGATCCCTTTGGTTCCTTCAACCTCCCACATAGTTTTCTTCATGATAGCGAATGATGATAAAAGTGAACGAAAGAGGGTTTTCCGCGTAGAGCAGGATAAAAGACCACAACCATCTCATAACCATTTGCCATTGGATCCGTCATTGCTTCAATGGTAGCATTCCGATTAGGCGTCGAAGTCCGATCCGTACGCCGTGCCTTCGGGAAACTTGGTGGGCTTATTCGTTATTTTTCCTCGACATTCTGAATAACGCGAAAGAATTTGACAAAAAGAAAACAACTCTCCTCATCGCTTTCGAGAACAAGATACAAAGCTCCGATCATACCATCTCGGCCCGCAGGCAGATGTTACGCTTGACCGTTCGCTCGTTTCGAAAATCGGCCCCAGCGGAGAGTTTCCGAGTCCGCTCTGGGTCTCAGACTTGCGAGCTATCGCGTCGGGGAGACCAATGAGTGAGCGGCGGGATTCACCATTCTTTTTCGGACGATCGCGGACATGGGACTAGAATTGTCTCGCGTTGGGTCCGACAGTCAATGGAACCTTGAACAGCGTGTTTACCTCAAAAACAATCACACGTCTATCATCCACGAGAATTCATTTCAAAACCTACTATTTTTTCGATTTTCTCGCTCCGGGTAGCGTTATTTCGTGAAACTGGCGGAAACGCGACTTGGTGCCGACAGAATGAAGCCTCAGAATTTCAGAGGTGCGAGAGCCGTTAACTCTTCTCGTCGCCATCACCACAACAAGCCTCGGCAAAAGCGCTGTGCTATCATGTCGAAGTATGCAACTTATTCAGCTTGGCTGAAAACTCCGAGGAAGACAATATGAGAAAGTCGGATCCTTCTGTCTGTGGGTTGACGTGGGGGCAAGAAGGTCGCGCTTCTACGGCATGTTTTCTCGAACGAAGCCTCCGAACTTCGATAAAACTTCCGTTGATGTCGCTCCTATTTATTTCGACCCTAAATTCCAGACGAATAGTCGAGGGATCAATCCAGTCAACAGAGCGGGACGAAGTTCCGGCCGCTGTCAGTGAGGAATGGTGTCGGAGCAATCGCTCCCAAACAATAGTTGCCTGCAGTTATTAACGGCCACGTCACCGTGGTTACGTCTTCTCATATGCCCATTCCGTAATGTATCTCACACCGCACGCTCACGATTGTCGTCTGTCGACCTCAAAGCCGGAAACTTCGCTGGAAATTGCCTATTCGATCTCAACGAAGTCGTCCGGAATATCTACACGTTCGATTCTCCACATACCATTCCGCCAACCACGCGTTGACACGGCTCCGCAGGGTTGCATTCGTCGACATGGCGCTCCCAAATGAACACAGAGTTGACGAGTTGCAGAAAACCAATCAAATCTCCCAGACGTACACTAATACCGTTATTCAGTACATCGGAGATGGATCGAGCACAGTGCAAAGCCTTCAGAAAACGACGGTGTCTTGGGACGCGGATGAGTCGACTATGAAACATCCACTTTCGCTTTTCGGTGGAAAGTAAAATCAGTGGTGGGACATCCTCTGCCCACGTTCTCTGCATGGCAACTCCCCTGACTTACGTAAACCGCGGGCCCGCGAGTGTGGGCTCCGACGACGTTCGCGGTCAGACAAGACGCTCGCTGGCTCGCGACAGTCCCGTTTGATATCCACGCTGTATCGAGCGTTCAGAGCGAATTCGAGTGAAGATTCCGAGTTCGACAATGTCGTCGTGTCGATCGAAACTCTCCAGAACGTCCAACATGAGTTGGGCTGACTCGGTTTTCAGCGACAGCCTGAAGGAACTTCAGCTCTGTGCATCGTTTCTCAAGGAATTGCAAGAAGGTTGGTTGGAATGCTGTTTCGTGCGGATGAGATCGAGAAGAGCCCTTCTCCCTTCAAACACTCTGCCGTGCCGAAGCTTTAGATAGAGCAACGTTTGTGATTGAGCTCTCGAGTTAGCTCTGCGTCCTCCGATGACCTTCGGTAGAGCGACGCCAAGTTGAAACTTTTCTGCTCCATTCCCGGTTCCCAAGTTCGATTTATTCGGGGCTCAGTAGATAAAGTCCCCGCTCTTCTGTAGAACTCATAAGTGAATCGATCTTAGATTTCCGATTATATCAACTTGAACACTTTCAAACGAGACATTCGTAAACTTCTCGAGAGGACACTTATTCACCTACCAAGATTGCGAGGCCTTCGGATTCCGCACAGCCTACTAAAAAAGTAGTCTTTATTGCCAGAAATTCAGTGAGATTTCAATTGCTGAAACGAAGATTTGAATACTTGGAGTCGCGTTGCCGTGACGCAAGCCTCGGAATCGAAACACTCTGAAGGGGGGTTTTGTTTTTGCCACGAGAAAAAACACCATAGTCTCTTGGGTTCTCTATCGGATTGGTCGGTGGGCGTTGAATTCCCGTAAGAGAGACTCTCAAATGAGTGTTTTGAATCGGTAGCGTTGTTAGCCGCTTGACCCCACTTGTGTGAAGGTCTGACAATCGTTGCCACTGACCATCATTATCACTGGGGACGTATGACACACTGCTGGGCTTTGTAGTCCTCTCGGCGAATACACTTTCCACTCCAGTGTCTTTGCTGCGGACGAGGTCGGGAGGTGATGAACACAACATTATCCATCCATCTGAGGCGCTCATTTTTTTTCTATGATGTTTTGAAAATTGGTTTCATGGAAGCGGCCATCAATATTTCGACGATTGTCGGAATGAGCCGAAAGCGCAGAAGTTCTTGAGTTTTTCTTCTCGTGATCGAATCGAAAAAGAAGAAACAGAATCGTAATGGACTAGTGACCGATTGGAAAGACAAGGTACACGACGAAACAATCAAAAGAAGATCCCGAATCGAGATACTCCATAATTCGAAGCACCTTCACAGATGCAATTCGACAGATTTTTCTCTCGTGGCGACCATTCGAAGAATTTCCAGAAACTCATATCGCTCCGGCAGAGAATGGCCGGCGCTGCGTTCGATCCTCGCCTGGCCGCAGATCAAGCTCATCTGTCTCATGAAATTAATGAATTTGAGCCCGCTGTTACTTAGCGAAGCGATCTGAAGGGCGATTTCGTCACGCACTTCGCGTTGGAGCGGCTCCACTTACGTCTTCAGTCCGATTCTAGTAGAGCTGAACAAAGGGCTGTGATCAGCCAGACGAGGACTTCCAGAAGATTGAACGCGGAATCACTCGCAATACGGTGGCAACATTCATCGACCTCATCAGTACTAGTTACAATCGCCCGTTATCTTCCACGGAAGTGTTCGATTCGTATCGCTCCGAAATCGACTCGCGCCAAGCTCTGCTGGCCAGGAGCTTCTCCCCCTGCCAGTTGAGCCATCAGCTCTTTCAATGCGATTTGGCTCCCATTACGGTGAGCGGGGCCACCGGTCTGATGCGCGAGAAATCAAGTTCCCAAGTGATTAAGTTCCGCGGTCGAAAAACGAGAATGGTCATAAAATGAGGTTTCTGAAGTCGACGTCGTTTCCAGTAGGCTCATGAATATTCAATCAAAGAATGAAATAGATTATTCTGATAAGTGACGTTAATATTGTGGAGTATTATCCGTCGGAATGGGAATTCCGAATGAGTTTTGACCTGGACTCGATAACGTGAGCGCCGTGACGATTGAGATTTGCGCTTGTGAGAACCGAAATCGTCCCATCGAATCTGTCATTCGAAACGACCCATGGGTTTCACTGGGAAATGACAACACCTAATGATGTTCTCGGTGAAAATCCGCGAGCCATCGCAGAGCGACGAGCCTGTCCTTACCGTCGGATTTCCGAATTTCTATCGCCCTCTTCGTACCTTCGTGTTCATCGACGAAAGAAACCAGCAGCCCCGATTTCGTACCCACGGATTCGGAGTGACACGGATGACCATCAATCATGAGCGGAGAAAAACTATCGCTCCTCGATGAGCTCATCGAGCTTATCTTCCCCGAGACGAAAATAATCAATCACAAGCGAAAGATGAGATGCTACAGGAGGAGACGCGTCGATGGTTTTCGAACGAACTGACATTAGCTCCTCGTTAACATTCAAACTTTCCATTTATACGCGACCTTCCCGAACGTAACGGTAACAACATAACATTGATCGATGCTCATCGTTGGCGTCGGGAAGGCCATGTTAGCGAGGGAGGCGGTCATTGCGTACAGCTGTAGGATCCATGCATTCAACCTTCACCTCAAAGGTGAGCACGCCGCTCGCACTCACTCAGCGTAGAGGCCGTCAGCGCTCCCGTGAAAATAGTAAAAAAAATCATAATAACAAGTCCTATGGCGTATAAAGTGAAAGCCGAGCGCTCCTGATGCCTTGTCATGCTTTTTCTCGAGGTTAAGAGTAGAGTCGACGAGTCCACCTTCGTTCTACCGACAATGAGCGGAGAACATCATTTTCGTTGGCCACGTCCGGAATCTCTGACAGGGCGACGAATCAGTTTTCCGAACGAGCTGCCGGAATCCGAAGGCTCCGACGCGAACATCATTTCAAGACCGGGAGCGTTTCGATCAGACTCGTAATTTCGACTCATCTGGAGATGACTAGCATTTTCCAGAAACTTCGACTGATTCAAGGGACGCGGCAACTCGCTCCGGGTTCGGATCCTCCCGAACAACACAACACCAGCTTCTAACGTTCCGAGAAGAATGAATGGCACATGCTTCGGAATCTTCTTTTTCTTACTCCACTGCGAAGCTAAACGATCCTTGTCACGCGGCGCGTTTGGCAAACGTCGGTGTGCGAGCGATTAGCGCCGATGACAAGAGCGCAGACTAGCGTTTACGCGTGCAAAACATTTCGACAAGTCTCACGAGCCTAGTGAAGGATTCCGAATGATGTTCGTTGTTCGGTAGGACCTCCTTCAAAGTGTTTCCGTCTGAGGCCATGGGCTGTTAGTTGGTCTTCAACACCAACCACTCAACTATTATTTTGCAACAACAAAAGGTCGGGAAGAAGATTTCGTAATTCGCGACGGGCCCGCCAGAAGAATGGATTAACATCAGGCGCACTTAAAAAAAATTCTCTCATTCGGCCGGCGAAAGTCAATAAACGCATCACCCATCGATGGAACCTCCACGCTGCCGCCATATCTCCCAGACGTACGCGTATTTCCCGGGTCCGACCCAACGATGTTTGAACGCCTCGCGTTCACAGTGGGTGGACAATATACGAGCGGGAGAAAGAACCACGGATTCGGTCAACTGACAAGCGATTGTTTGTAGCAACCGCCTCCGGGGGAATTCAACATTTGCCCCAATCCTTACCTCATCCATCCGCCGAGCTTTTGAACTGACATTCGACAGCCTGAGCAACATGGTCGACACCGATGGCGATGACGACAAGATAGATAGGTAATCGTCCGAAACGACACAATTAACGCGCTGCACATGAGCGGTCATCGCAGACCTCATGCCCAAAGTCGATACCAAGGTCGGCGTGCTTCTTCATTAAACATCTTCAATACTTCGGACGGTGTACGGTGCTGTCTTCTGCCTTTCCACGCGAGAGAATCATCGCGTGGTGCTCTTTTCTTCAGCTGACCGTTACAAACAGAACCGTAGTGTACGCTTCTGGAGCTGGTGGTTGTGTTTCGAAATTGGCCACCGAATTCTGACGTGATCGACCCGGCGAAGTTTCCTCAACCGGACACTGAATTAGATTCGGCTAATGTCTGGAGTGACGGCGTCGACGACAGACGAAAACCGGAAGAAACCTGAACTTCGACATTTGGTTGCGACTCATCTCGAAGCCCTTGTGAACACTTTACGAAGACTGACAGAGTACAACGGATTCTTATTGGAGTGTCTGCTTTCGTTGAATTCTCCATCTGTTTCGCGAACTATCGAAAAGAACTCGGGAAGACGCCGACGTGTCCCAACACCTGACTACAGTGTCTCGAGTTCTTCGTTGACGTCGCTGGAGGAACTGAACACACCCCCGTCATGAAAACCGACTCGCAATTCCAAGATCCATTCTTTTTCGAGAAGGAAGCGAGGAGCCCTTTGAGACAGATCGACGCTCTCCAGGCTGCGGTCGAGTACATTTTCATGGATGGCGAAGATGTTCGGGACTATGCCCAGAACAAAAAGCGCTATTTGGTGGATGCCGACCCTTCCATCTCCCCCTCCACTTTGGCCATGCTGATCGTGGCGGGCTTACCGAAAAAAACGCAGATGGAGCTGCTTTCCACCGGGATGCCTACATCACCTGCGGATGTCGATGAACGACTGTGTTGTACAGAAGGTTCCGTAAACGATACCAAGAACAAGGAAAACACCAACGAGAAGATGACGCTGAATATCAACGTCAACGAAACG